ATCTAAGCTACTAAAAGTGGTGCTTCCAGAAGTCATAGATCCTCTTCTGACTATTATTAATTCATCATTGTCATTAGGATATGTCCCAAAAACCTTCAAACTGGCTGTTATTAAGCCTCTCATTAAAAGAACACAACTTGACCCCAACAAATTAATTAATTACAGAACGATCTCGAATCTCCCTTTTCTGTCAAAGATTCCAGAAAAGGTAGTATCATCACAACTCTGATCCTTCTTAGAGAAAAATGCTATCTGTGAGGATTTCCAGTCAGGTTTTAGACCCTATCATAGTACTGAGTACTGCTCTCATTAGAGTACAAATGGCCTGCTCTTATCATCCGATCATGGTTGCATCTCTCTATTAGTGCTACTGGATCTTAGTGCCGCGTTTGACACTATCGACCACAACATTCTTTTGAATAGACTAGAAAATTATGTTGGCATTAGAGGAAGTGCATTGGCATGGTTCAAATCTTACTTCAGCAGTGAACACACACCCCAATTGAAGAGGTATCATACCAATCACAAGTGCACAAGTGCAGTACCTCAAGGCTCAGTACTAGGACCGTTACTTTTCACGCTTTACATGTTACCCTTGGGAGATATTATTAGGAAACATGGTGTTAGCTTTCACTGTTATCTCTGTGCGCTTAAAGGGGTCATATGATGCGATTTCAAGTTTTCCTTTCTCTTTGGAGTGTTACAAGCTGTTCGTGAATAGATAAGATCACTAAAGTTGCAAAGACTAAAGTCTCAAATCCAAAGAGATATTCTTTATAAAAGTTAAGACTGGTCTACGTCCTCCTAAAACGCCTTGTTTAAACACGCCCCCACATGTCTACGTCACGATGTGGGAAGAATTGCATAATGCCGCCCAAATGTTCATGCAAAGAAAGAAACTACAATGCCGGCTGTTCTGACAAATAATGCTGACTCACCGCCTGTAAGTACGTTTTCATTTTTAAAGGATTTACCACTGATGATTCAAACGCGAGTTTTGAGCAGTGTAGAGTAGCGCTTGTTGTTTGTAATTTCTCCGATCACAAATGCAGACATGGTTTTATGTTTACGCGGCGTGATGCAACTCAACGTAAAAAGACAATATATTTCATTATAATCCGTAATTATGTCCCCACTGGATGCAACAAATGCCTCGTTTATAATGGGTTTTAATGTTTTTGTCTCGGAGAGCCAGGGCGGAGCCGGCAGTACAGGTGGAGCTGAAGACCACCACAGCAGAGCAGACGGGACTGAAGATCCCCCCGGCGGAGCAGAAGACCACCAGAACAGGACTGAAGACCACCAGACCGGAGCAGAAGACCACCAGAGCCAGACAGCAGACCACCACGGCGGAGCAGGTAGAGCAGAAGACCCCCAGAGCCAGACAGCAGACCACCACGGTGGAGCAGATGGAGCTGGGACCCATGGCAGAGACTGGGGCCTATGGAAAACAGAGACAGCCAATGCGGGCAGTGCATTCATGGTTTCAGGGTCCAAGGCAGGGAACACAAGAAGTTCATCAATGTCCTCTATGGCAGTGACAGAGTTAAAGAGACAAACACGGAGTGTATTTATAGTCCTTGAGTTCATGACAGACAGAGCTAAGAGTTCAAAGGAGGATTTTTTGGCTGTGACAAGCCAATGTCCATGTGAAAAGCTGCTGGATCCTTGTGTGGCCGAGAATTCTGTTACGGGGCAGACAAGACGTGAGATGTACGGATCCATTTGCAAACTTTATTCAAAGGCGTGGTCAGAAACAGGCATGGGTCAGACAATGGCAAACTGGTATGGAGAAGACAAGGCAAGGGCAATCCGGTAAACAAGCGAGGGTCGGTCGACGGCAAACGGAATCCAACAGGGCGAGACTAGAGGGATAAATCCAGGTACACAGGCAAAGATCAAAACATAGGAAAACAGACAAAGCAAGACTTCGCTAAGGCTAGGAAAACTAAGCAGTCTCCGTAAGGTAGCTATCAGTTAAACAATGATATTCGCTAAACAATACTCGGCAGCTTGACGGGGATAAGAGTGACTGTTATAAGGGAAGGTGTGATTGATTACAGCTGTGTGAAATCAGTGCTGTGTGCAATCAACTATGTGTGTAATCAGTGCAATGGATGATGGGAACTGTAGTCCGGGTGAAGTGCAACAGTGGTGACCAAATACACCAAATAATGTTCGTTTTAGCAACATCATATGACCCCTTTAATAAACAAACTCCAGCTGGTCCAAAATGCAACAGCTAGAGTTCTTACTAGAACCGAGAAGTATGACCATAATAGCCCAATTCTGTCAACACTGCACTGTAGTTCCCTATTAAACATTGTATATATTTAAAAATTTGCTAATTACCTATTAAGCCCTGAATGGTTTAGCACCTCAGTTTTTGAGCGAGCTCTTATTGCATTATAGTCCTCCACGTCCGCTACAAACTAAAAACTCTGGCTATTTGATAATACCTAGAATATCAAAATCAACTGTGGGCGGCAGATCCTTTTCCTATTAAGCTCCAAAACTCTGGAACAATCTACCTAACATTGTTCGGGAGGCAGACACACTCTGTCAGTTGCAACAGCTAGAGTTCTTACTAGAACCGAGAAGTATGACCATATTAGCCCAATTCTGTCAACACTGCACTGTAGTTCCCTATTAAACATTGTATATATTTAAAAATGTGCTAATTACCTATTAAGCCCTGAATGGTTTAGCACCTCAGTTTTTGAGCGAGCTCTTATTGCATTATAGTCCTCCACGTCCGCTACAAACTAAAAACTCTGGCTATTTGATAATACCTAGAATATCAAAATCAACTGTGGGCGGCAGATCCTTTTCCTATTAAGCTCCAAAACTCTGGAACAATCTACCTAACATTGTTCGGGAGGCAGACACACTCTGTCAGTTTAAATCTAGATTAAAAACCCTTCTCTTTAACCTGGCTTACACATAACACACTAACACATTTCTATTATTCAATTCTGTTAAAGGATTGTTAGGCTACATTAATTAGGTTAACCGTAACCAGGAACACTTCCCATAACACACAATGTACTTGTTACAATGTCAGAAGAATGGCATCTACGCTAATATTAGTCTGTTTCTTTCTT